ATTTAAAATCAATGCAGTCCCACGGCCCTCTGAGGCCCAAAGTTAAAAACTGTTGTTCTTTTGAGGCCCTCAAGGTGGTGCTCGCGGGTTAAGAATCTCTGCTTTAAACACAAACTTCATGGTGTCTGAACCATGTGGAGGATTTGGGAGAAGAACTTCTGACTTTTGTTTCTTTCAAATTGACGTGGATTCAAAGAAAATGTGACGACATGAAGAGTTCAGTCCAATCAAAGAAAGCAGCCTCACATCAGAGAAGTCTTCTGCATGAAAACACGTCAGGACAAACAAGACGCACTTTATTCAACACTTGACAGCTTTATGAGGGAAAGAAAACATTTTCAGGTCCAAAATGAAGAAATCAACGTTCATTTAGGAGAAAAGTTTCCAGAACAACTGCAGTCAGACAGTCATACAGATACTTGTTGAGGCTGCACAACTTCAGCTTCAACTATGAAAAGTCACAAAGTCACTAAATAAAGATTATTAATGCAAACTTTCAGAAATATTCTGATCTTGTTTTGAGCTTATCCAGTCCAGATCTAGTCTGGACTCACTCAGACCATCTACTGACCHCAGAGTCTGAAGTTTGTAGTCTGGATTCTTCACAAGATCCAACAGCTGCTGAACATCTAGAGCCCGAAGGTTGTTGTTCCACAGGTTCAGTTCAGTCAGATGGGAGGGGTAGGACTTCAGAGCTGAGACCAGAGAAGAACAGCTGATCTCTGGAAGCACCCGACTGCTTTCATCTTCTCTCATTCCACTGAGCTGACTTAGTTAGAATAAAGCTGATTTTCTGATCTTATCACGTATGAGAAGCGTTGGACGAGGCTTTCTGACCTCTGCAGTTGGACTTATGGCGTCCAGCACCTCCATGATGCGGTGTGGGTGGAGTCAGTGCCACACAAATCTACATGGATGGAGGCGAGCAGCCAACAAGGTTCAAGTGAGACCATTTCTTTGTTCCTCTTGTGTGATCTTACCTGCAGGAAATCAAAGCTCCATGTTTTCTCAGTGAAGAGGCATTTGGATTGAAACCTTTAAAAAACTACTTTTGTCCAAAGAAGCTGAAGGATTTGACAGATTTGTAATTCTTTCTTCCTTTCCACTAGAAGCAGGTCAACTAACAGGTGGCTCCACTCAGTCCTGAACTGGTGGGCTCCAGTCAGACTGTGGTCACCTCTGATCACTCACAGCTTGGTGGTCCTGAACTTCAGCAGGTGGCAGGCTGCTTTTGGATCACCCTCCAGAATCATTTTAGGTTGAATTAGAAGATACTGAGAGCAGAATGAAGAGGAATCAATTAAGCCTTTTAATAGAGCAGACTGGCCCTTTAAAGCAAAGTGAATTTTGTTTTTCTCTTTGTTTTTGTGAGTCTGAGTTGAAGTCAGCAGCTACAGCAGCATGGACTCTCTCCTACGTGGTGGGATGAAGGTGGTCTCCTCCATCCACCAGGCCCTGATAGTCTTACAGCACAAACACATTTGTCCTCTGCTGATGAGTGGTGTTGAGGTAAACATGATCAGCTGCTGATCAGACAAATGGAAGCAGCCAACAGCTCCTGAACAAAGTGGCTCCAGTGTAGAAAGCAGCTCTGACTGTAGCCCTCACTGCAGAGTTCAGACCTGAGAAAAGTTGAAGCTGTGAAACCTTCAACTTTCTCTTTTAGGCAGGAGCTGCAGCAACACATTTCTCCCAGCAGCTTCTCTTTGTTTTCCTCTGAAACACTGAAACAAAGTGCCTTCTGATTCCAACATGTTCATCAAGCTCCAACTTTCTCAGCCGGCTTCTTTCAGAGCAACCTTTGCAGCTGGTTGGGACTGAGAGCTGAAGAAATGTGCAGAAAATTTCTCCTCTATCAGGACACATTTCTTCAGCTGATAATAAAGATGTGAAGAAAGCAGCAGAGCCTCATCCTCTGCTTCCCTTCAGCGTCTCCTCCTGATGTCAGAATGCTGATGGACTGGCCCAGGCCCATTTCCATCAGCTCCATGCGCAGATGGACATCCTTGGACATGTCTAGAGGAGACAGGTGTCCTTGATGTGAGGGGAGGAGGAAGAACGGGGGTCTTCCTTCACTCTTTGCTTCTCAGGAGCGTCACGAGGCAAGGCGCAGGCTTTAAGGACCACCTGTGTGTTTTCCAGAACCCTCCCAACACTCTCAGCTAAACTAAATCTAGCAGTAAGCACCAGTGGACATAGTGAACGATAGCCATGTGATGTATCAGTCACCTGTGAACCATGGCCATGTGATGTGAGTATCAGTCACCTGGAGGCAGGACTTAAAAGCCTGAATTTTGCCTGAAACTCTCAGACTGAAGAAGTCTCTTGGAGAAGAGACGAAACGTTTCATTAAAGAACCCATCCAGAGGACCTATACAATTTTTTTTTCCTTTTCACCAGTGGACAGTTAAGACCCAAACAAACACTTTAATAATGCAGCAGGAAACTGAATGTGGGAAAGAAGTCATTCACTTAGTTTAGATTGAAACTGCAACTGGATTCATGCAAACCCAATTACATGAAGTCACTAAAAGATCTTTTTCACAAGTTCATTCAATAAAAACACAAAACTGCTGCAAATGGTCAACATTATACCTGATTACATCTCCTACATCCCTGTAGCAATTGACAGATATTTAGAGCTCACACTTTGAACACAACTGGATCAGATGATGTTTAAGAACTTTAACACCTGCTTAGATGGTATCTGGATTTTGTTGCTTTTTACCTGCAAGAGGAGGAAAAACAGACCATCCATACAGCCCCACATTAAACATTTAATAATATTGAGATCATTTTAAAACCACACAGTTTTATTAAAAACAAATCTTTATTCTTTTATTTTAAAAACCTCAATGAATTAATAAAAACTCTACAAGGACATGTAGAGGATCATCTCTGATCCTGCAGGAAGCTCAAAGCCTCTTTGAAACAAACCTGTGGAGAGAAAAAAAGTTATTTTGTCATTTTATTCTGTTTTAAACCAAATTTGTTTAAATGTAAAACTGCATTACTGTGCCGTTAGAGATTAAAACAAGAAACAAAGAAACATTTAGACTGAACTTCTGTCTCCACCTGGATTCCCCAGGATTCAGTACAACTATGGCTCTAATTCGTTAAAAACCAACAACAGTTTATTTCCTGGATTAGAAATGAGACTGAATTTAAGACTAGAATAAATCAAAAGCCAACAACAGTTTGCCAAACATGGAAGGCAGGATTTTTAGCTACTACCACACCAATGTTTAGCTCCAAACCTTTCAGAGGTCCTGACTTGGAGACATTTGTGTGTTTGCTAAGACTGATCAGCTGTGGCAACATAAAGAGAGAATTCCACATTTTCAATCTCATCATGACAGCAGGAGAGAAGACTAGACTGACATCAGGTCAGGGGGGGTCCTTACAGTGGACTCTTCAAAGTCTAAAATGGAGCAGAGTTGGCTTCTTTGGTGGGCTGAAACTGGATCAAGCTGAGCCCAGATTTTCACATGAGAACTGGGGACTCCAAGCAGCTTCTTACTTGTTGAGAAGATGACAGATTTTCTTGGCTGTGCTGCTGATAAAGTCTTCTGCTCATCCTCCACGTCATCACTTCTGCTTCTGCACAGTTCTATTGGTTCTGGACTGGAAGAGTTCTTCTAAAGAAGGAGGAAATAAAGTCAGCTCACAGTTAATTTTTAAAATCAGAGAATGAATGTGAAATCATTGTCCTGCTTTAATTTCACTTCATCCAGAGGAGGCTTCACTGGACCTGCTCTGCCAGGCTCTCTTTGAGCCCAACATCCATGTTCTAAAAGCCATCAGGAAGAACAGGAGGGAAGAAAAGCACAAGTATCAAATGGAACGCTGTCATACAGTGTAGACTGAAGCTCCTCTGCTGCATGGACAGAAGCCGTCTCTGGACGCGGCCCCCAGAGGTCCTCCTACCTTCAGGTCCTGGTTCTGAAGAAGACTTTGCAAAGCAGCAGAAGCCGTTTTGGGGTGGCAGTGGTAGAGTGTTTAGGGGAGTCATCCTGGAACCGGAAGTTCACCAGTTCGATATCGTCCAGTCAACTCAGTCGCTGTGCCCTTGGGCAAGACACCTTACCCGCCTTGCATAATGATGGTGGTCAGAGGGTCCGGTGGCGCCCGTGTATGGCAGCCTCGCCTCTGTCCGTGTGCCCCAGGGCAGCTGTGGCTACAATTGTAGTTTGCCATCATCAGTGTGTGAATGTGTGTGTGCATGGGTGAATGTCTGTATTGTGAAGCGCTTTGAGCATCCTGGATGCATAAAAAGGCACTAAATGAGTACAGTCCATTTACCATGTTTCCATCCTATTTTGATTCGAATTTTGAGCAGATTTTTTAAAATTCACAAAAAGGAAAAAACGAATAAATGTGAATCAGACGTGTTTCCATCAACTGGCTTGAAGCGAATCACTTACGTCAGATACATGCGTGTAGTAAACAGGAAGTAAAAGTCACATCTCAGGAAAATGGAGAGAAGTAATCAGGAATGTGTTGCTACTATCGGGAAAGTTATACTTATTCTGTCATATCAACTAGTTTTGGCGGTGTTACATGCTGTCTGCAGATGTAGAGAAAGAAATGCAATTCTCTTCATGTTACAAGAATAGCTGATAATACGCGGACAGCGGGACGAGTGTCAAGCTCATCTGCAGTTGCGGCTGCAGTCGCCCTGGTACCAGTACCGGTTTCCGACAGACAGCGAGAGCAGCTGATCAACCATGTGAGGTAAATGTTAGCTACGTTAGAACTTATTCGACAAATGTGTTTCCATCTCTCCTTTTGCGCTTTAAGTCTTTTTCGAAGAACCAAAAACCACCTCAAGCAAGTGTATCAACTTTTGTGCAAATTAGAGGAAGTCTTTTCAAATCATGCTGTAATGGAACTAACACTTTTATGTTTAAGCAAGTAATTCATGACATCCTTTAATGRCCTAGGTTTTCATGACATGCTGTTCATCTGCAGATAGAATGATTAAAGTCAGAACAATATTTGCTAACAATAATCATTCTTAGATATCACTTGTGTTTATCTTTGTGTTTTCCATTGACCTTGTATCAAATCTTGCTAAGATGACATAATGGTGTTTGTATATGAGGCCCCTCGAGACACAGTGAGTAGTGTGGAGAGAGTGACAGAGAGAAGCAGAGGCACAGAGACAGGCCAGGTTGTTCTGTGTTTCCTGTTGTTGCAATAAAACTCAGCTGATCATCCCATGGAGTACCTTCATTCTTGGACCACGTATTTCTGTCTTTGTTAAATATATTGCGATAACAGTTTGGCGTTGTCGCACAGACCACTAGGAGATCGACGGACCAAGGCCACATTGCAGGTGGACTGATATGAGTGAGCAAGGACTGGACTGCTCAGGACCGTGACTCCAGCTGGATGAAAAGAACCTTTTTATGGTAAATTGTTTTAACAACAGAGATACGCTGGTGACGATCGTGATGGATGATCTTGAATAAGCAAAGAACATTGGATTTTTTTTGGCTGTTGAAGAACCTGAGAAGTTATTTGAAACATCATCTGCTGAGAGTGAGTAAAAGATTCAAGAGGCCTCTTTACTTCTCCAAAGAGGATTTCTGCCAGCTTCTCCAAAAGGTGACAGTGTTGGAGCTCAAGATTCATCGTTTGGAAGAGATGAATGCTTTGGAGAACTCAACATGTGTTAAAATGGGTGAGAAGGCTGAGATGAGAGATCCACAGAATGGGGAGAT